AAATTAAAAATCAATTTGGTGTCTCTATTCAAACCTTTCGAAGTGATAATGGTCGTGAATATCTTTCAAACTCGTTTAAACAATTTATGGCTTCTCATGGCATTCTTCATCAAACTTCCTGTGCTTATACCCCTCAACAAAATGGGGTGGTCGAGCGCAAGAATAGACACCTTATTGAAACAACCCGTACTCTTTTAATTCATGGTGCGGTTCCTCAACATTTTTGGGGTGATGTTGTTCTTACTTGCTGTTATCTTATTAATCGTATGCCCTCTTCGGTTTTAGATAACAAAATTCCCCATTCTATTTTATTTCCTCATGACACTCTCCATCCTTTACCTCTCGAAGGTTTTTGGGTCTACCTGTTTTGTCCACAATTTTGATCCTGGTCATGATAAGTTATCTCCTCGATCACACAAATGTGTTTTCTTAGGATTTACTCGATCCCAAAAAGGATACAAGTGTTTTTCTCCTTCTCTTAATCGCTATTTTGTGTCTGCCGATGTCACCTTCAATGAGTTTTCCTTTTACTTTAAGGACCCTTCCCTACCTGCTGAGTCTCCATCTCGCTACAGTTCCCATTCCTGTTCTCATTGATCCTTATGTTGAGGACCATCCACCATTAGCCCCTCCTCCTCCACCACCCTCCAGGTTTATAGTCGCAGACCTCGCCCACAACAGACGCCACATGACTCACTCCCAGTGCCAAATACTCGCCTCCTCCGGTTCCGTCCACGTAGTCCGACCTTCCTATTGCCCTTCGTAAAGGTACGCGTTCTACTCGTAATCCTTCTCCACATTATACCGATATTAGTTATCATCGAATTTCTTCACCATTTTATACATGTCTCTCGTCTATTTCTTCTCGTGTCTATTCCTAAATCTGTCTCCGAAGCCTTAGCCCACCCTGGTTGGCGTCAGGCCATGCTAGATGAACTCGGTGCTCTTCGGACTAGTGGAACCCGGACGCTTGTCCCATTACCATCTCGGAAAATCTGTTGTTGGTTGCGGGTGGGTCTTCGCTATCAAGGTTGGTCCCGATGGTACTATTGATCGCCTCAAAGCTCGCCTTGTAGCCAAAGGCTATACCCAAATTTTTGGGTTGGATTATGGTGATACTTTCTCTCCAAGTGGCAAAGATGGTTTCTGTTCGTTTATTCATTGCCATGGCCGCTATTCAACAATGGTCTCTTTATCAACTCGGATGTCAAAAATGCTTTCTTGAATGGCGATTTGCAAGAAGAGATTTATATGGAGCAACCTCCGGATTTGTTGCTCGGGGGAGTCTTCCGGATTGGTATGTCGTCTTCGCAAATCTTTATATGGCCTAAAACAGTCTTCTAGGGCCTGGTTTGGCAAATTTAGCGAGCGTTGTTCAACAATTTGGCATGACTAGAAGTGAGGCGGACCACTCAGCTCTTTTACCGTCACTCGAATGTTGGATGTATCTATTTGATAGTGTATGTCGATGACATTGTTCTTACAGGTAGTGACCATCATGGCATCTCTTAGATGAAACAACACCTTTGCCACCATTTTCAAACCAAAGATCTTGGCAAACTCGGATATTTCTTGGGTATTGAGGTAGCACAATCTACCGATGGCATTGTTATATCTCAAAGAAAGTATGCATTGGATATTTTGGAGGAAACTGGGTTGATGAATTCAAAGCCTCGTTGACACACCCATGGATCCTAATACCAAACTCTTGCCAAATCGGGGGAGCCAATGTCGGATCCCGAACAGTATAGAAGATTAGTTGGAAAATTAAATTATCTTACGAGTTACTCGCCCGACATTTCCTTTGCGATCGGTGTGGTGAGTCAATTCCTCAATTCTCCTTGTCAAGATCATTGGAATGCAGATCATCCGTATATTGAAGTACATCAAAAAGTCTCCTGGAAAAGGTTTGGTGTATGACTCCCATAATCATACAAGAGTTGTCTGCTATTCGGATGTCGATTGGGCAGGATCTCCCTCCGATAGAAGATCTACATCCGGGTATTGTGTTTCCATTGGTGGTAACTTGATCTCATGGAAAAGTAAGAAACAAAGTGTTGTGGCAAGATCCAGTGCGTAGCGCAGTATAGAGCTATGGCCTCAGCCTACCTGTGAACTTATTTGGCTCAAGCAATTGCTTAAAGAGCTACAATTTGGAGATGTCACTCAAATGACACTAGTGTGTGACAATCAGCCGCTCTCCATATAAGCTCTAATCCCGTCTTTCATGAGAGGACTAAACACATTGAGATTGACTCGCCATTTTATTTGAGAAAAGATTATGTCTGGAGACATCAAGACTGAGTTCGTTAACTCATGTGATCAATTAGCAGATATTTTCACTAAGTCTTTACGGGGACCTAGGATGGATTATCTTTGTACCAAGCTAGGCACATACGATTTGTATGCTCCAGCTTGAGGGGGAGTGTTAGATATGATTAGATATTAGTTGATATTATTTGATATTGTTGAGATATTGTTAGATATTGTTAATCACAATATCAAATAATATCTTTTATTTACCCTATTTGTACTCTGTTACTCTTTTGAGGAGTACCTTTCTTTATTATAAATACACTGCCCTATGTGTGGTAAATACACAAGGGAAGTTAACCCTATACAGTTTTTCCCTATATTCAACAAAGATGTTGGATGATGTAGTGGAATTTGTTGGAGAGGAGAATGTGGTTCAAGTGGTTACCGATAATGCTGCAAATTTCAAGGCAGTTGGATAGTTATTGATGCAAAAACGAGAGCATTTGTATTGGACCCCATGTGCTGCCCATTGCATTGATTTGATTTTTGAAGATTTTGAAAAACATTTGAAGGTCCATCAAACTACTATCAAGAAGGGAAGAAGAATCACTACCTACATTTATGGTAGAGCAATGCTAATTAGCATGTTAAAGAAGTTTACCAAAGGTAGAGACTTGATAAGGCCAGGTATGACTAGATTTGCCACATCTTATCTAACTCTTGCATGTCTTCATGAATTGAAAGCATCATTGTTGAGCTTCTTTAGCTCTGATGAGTGGAAATCAAGCAAATTTGGAACTTCAATGGAAGGGAGAAAAATTGAGCATGTGGTATTAGATAGTCGGTTCTGGAAGAATGTAACCACTTGTCTCAAAGTTGCTGCCCCTTTGATGGTGGTCCTTCGATTAGTGGATTCATATATAAAACCCGCAATGGGTTTCATTTATGAAGAAATGGATTCTGCCAAAGAGAAGATCAAATTTAACTTTAATAATATTAAGAAAAGGTAAAATTTATAAACTTTCTCTTTTTCAGATTTTCATTCTTTATTTTGTGTAATTATTTATAACATTGCATGATTGCATCATTGTAGTTATGAACCTGTTTGGAACATAATTGATGAGAGGTGGAATAATCAGCTTCATAGACCTTTGCATGCGGCTGCATATTACCTTAACCCTCACATGCACTATGAACCTAATTTTAGAAATGATGATATGGAGGTAAAAGAAGGGTTGTATGAATGCATGAAAAGATTGGTCAAGGATGTTGCAGAAAGGAAAAAAATTAATTTACAACTTCTAGAGTTTCATTTTGCAAAAGGACTTTTTCTCAATGGAAAATGCAAAAGATTGTAGGAAAGTTATGCTTCATGGAGAATGGTGGGAAATGTTTGGAGATGGAACTCCAGAGTTGAAGCGATTTGCTATTCGAGTTTTGAACTTAACTTGTAGTTCTTCTGGGTGTGAGCGTAATTGGAGCTCATTTGAAATGGTAAGTCAAATTTGTTAAGTTATTATTTGTTTTTAATTTTTTGTATTTAAACATTCATATTTATTTATAGGTTCACACAAAAAGAAGAAACTGTTTGCACCAGAAAAAGATGAATGACTTGGTTTATGTCATGTACAACTTGAAGCTCAAAAATAAACAAAATAGGAAAACAGTTGTTCTCCCATTTGATGATATTGAGTCTGATGATGAATGGATAACAGAAGATGGTGATAATGTTGGGATTGAGCCAGTTCAAGGTGAAGGTGATGAGGAAAATGTTGACATAGCTGAAATAAGTTCAGTTGATCCTACTTTAGAGCCAATTGATCTTGATAATATAGTGTTTGATGCCAATGTTGATGATGCACTCTTATCATCCGAGGAAGAGGTTGATGGTGATGGAGAAGATGAAAAAGATGATGATGTTGGAGATGATATAATTAGAGGATTGGAGCTAGAAAGTTGAAGTTATTTATGTTTTAGTGATTTGTATTAACTTATGTATTTGGTGTAATTTGAACTTATATAACAATCATGTGTTGAACCAAGTTATTTTAGAATTATTGAACTATTGTTTTTTATTTTCATTAATTTTGATGATGAAATTCTGAATTTGTATTATTATATAGAATTTTTTATATAAAGTAGACTCTTACGAGTCTACGAGTCGAGTTTACTGAGTCGAGTCTACGAAGCTCTCACGAGTCAACGTAGACTCTCGATTCCGATAACCTTGGTAATAACTATCTTAACATCTCGGTGAAAATATTAGTACAAATGGTACAAATAGGAACTTTAGGCAATATAGCGAGGTCATTCGGATGTATAAATATACCAGTGGCTACATGACTCCGTTGTATATAGATCAGGAAAGGAATGACAGTATATTGAGGTTTGAGGGGTCTTTAGCTGGACTCAAAGGAGGAAATAACTTTTGATCTTGTTCCTTGTTATTAGATATAAAAAAAAAAAATCAATAAACCTTCACCACAAGGTTTTTCTAACTTTAAGCTTTTTGGAGAATTAGTTCTTGACATAGCTCTTGTTTTTCTAAATATAAAAGTTGAACTTTGGCACAAGGTACAGTGAGCTTGTGCATTATCCATGAGAAGACATGTTAGGTATAAAACCAATCATCAACTTCGGCTTTTGGGTAACAGCTTAAGCTTATGGGAAAACTAGCTCATGAAAATTGTGTTCATGTGTTTAGTCTGATTTATTGAGAAGAATATTCCAGATTCTTCTTTAATCTACCACTCTTCCTGTAATGCTAAATGCAGTCGCTCCACTACAACAAGGCCACGCTGTCCCTTCCAAGAATAAAAAACAACGGCCTCATAAGCCTTGAGCCTGAAGTGGTAGCTAGGGACTCAACAATACACTTTAGCCCAAACTCAATTTCTCCCCTTTTTTATCATTGCACTCTTCACAACTGACGTCTATTCAATTCCATTCCCCTTTGTTTAACACACATGCAACCCCTAGCCACTCCTCCAGACCACCTAACAGATTCAGATTGTGCTGCTGGGATATTATAAAGGTTAAGATTATGAGACAAGATGTAAAGAAACCATCGATTGGAGTCATACGTTACAAATCCCCACTTCTAAGATAGTGGAATTGATCCAGACCACAATATATTGTCTTCTGTCAATAATCAAAAGACTAAAAATCTTGCATAAAATATATACTTAATTCAAACCAATACATTAGCATTTGGTAAAATTTGCTACTACATGAACAATGACACTCATCAATTAAATAAGGTTGTTGTTAGATATTTTAGATATTATTCATTATAATATATGTATTTGTTATATTTACTTATATGATTCTTAATTATAAATATATTACCCTATGTATATTTTAGACGTAAGGGAATTAACCATATACCTAGTTTTTCACTATATTCAACATGGTATCTAGAGTTTAGGTTCTCTTTTTTTTCCGTCATCGCGCTGCTGCGCTTGCACTTGCTGCCATCGGAGCCGCCACCGTCGCCGCCAGAGTCAGTTCAAACCAGACCTCACCGTTTTGCTGATCTCAACTAGGCGACCACCGCGCCATTGAGATCGCCGCGATCGAAGTCTCCACGTGCTATTTAAAGTTTTTAGGGTTTTTCTCTCTATTCCTCCATGGCTTCTTCCGTTGCCTCACAATCATCTATTGTGGATCCTACGTCATCTTATACCGTAGGCAAGTATGTTATTGTTAGAATCATTACTTCCTAGTATTATCATTAGACCTAAGTATAGGGTGTTGAGTGTGGGAAACATTCTACAGTTGTATCTAGATCTGCACCTAGGGTCCTAGTTGCAATCTCTTACTTAGTCTTCTATGTCTCATTGTATCAAATTTCCATTATAAATAGAAGAAAGGGAGAAAGGTCCCATAAGCCTTGAAGATATATGTTTTCTCTATTAATCTTAAGTTGGTATCAGAGCGGGTCAATCCCGCTCTGGTTTCTGTCTGGTCTTGTCCACCACCATTAGTCACCACTGTCCACCAATAGTCACCGCTGTCCGCGACCGTCCAAGCTAGTTTTATCACTATCTGAAACTATCCTCTACTTTGTTGGATTGTCCAACACTGTCAAGCAACTATCCGTCGCTGTCCGCCGCCGTCCGCCGTCGTCAGCCGCCGCAGTTTCGTCCGGAAACCACCGGATCTGGACCGCCTCTCCGAGCGACAGCCAACCCTGCTGGTGTCGAAGGGAGACTCCTCGCGACATGCCGCCACTCGCTCCGTCTCTATAGGGCTTTCAAAAATCTTCGTTGTTTTCGCGTAGCTGCTCTCTATTTTTTTTGTCCTCTTGATAAAAAATGGCAACTGGAAGTGCTGGAAGCGCTATTTCATTCTCTGGAAGTCCTTCCATTACTTCCGAGAAGCTAAACGGACAAAATTACCTCTCTTGGTCCGCTGCCGTCGAGATGTGGTTCTTTGGCCAAGGACATCATGACCATCTTGAGAAAGACGGAAGCCATATGCCTGAAGAAAAAGCCGAACAGTGGAAGCAAGCAGATTTTCAGTTGTGTGCCCTATTGTGGCAATCTGTGGAGCCAAGACTTTTAATGTCTCTTAGGGACTTCAAGACATGTCACTCTTTTTGGAAGAGAACTCAAAACATATATGCCAACGATATTCAATGCCTTTATGATTCGGCAAACAAGCTGGCATCTTTGAAAATGACCAACCATGATATGATCTCCTTCATGAATGAAGCACAATTAACCGTGGAAGACCTGCGAATGTTCTTGGAGGTCGACGCTTCAGATGAAATGAAGAAGCTTGACAAATACTACATGGTGATGATTCTTCGCGCTATACATCCAGACTTCAACCATATCAGAGATCAGCTTCTGACCTCTCATGAAGTCCCTTCCATGGACACCTTAATCCAATGCATGATTCGTGTTCCAACACATGGAACTCTGGAAACTCCTGCTCTAGTAAAACCATCTGTTATGGTCGCCACTCGAGGAAGAGGAGGACGTGGAACTAGAGGAGGCGGACGTGGTGGTCGTGGGCGTCCTCAATGCACATATTGCAAAAGGATGGGTCACACCCAGGAAAATTGTTACTCCTTACACGGTTTTCCTTCCAAAACAATCAATGTCTCTCAGGCTGAAACGACTGAATCCAAGTTCACTAAGAACGAGTATCAAGAGTACCTACGACTCAAGTCCAACAGCTTGGCACAGCCATCTCAAGCTCCAAAGTACATCAACAGCTTGCATCTCTCAATCCATGGAAAGTCATAATTCATGGGTAATTGATTCTGGTGCTTCTGACCATATCTCTGGTAATACCTCCTTGTTCTTAACCATTTCATTTCAAGACAAACCTCATTTTATAACCCTTGCAAATGGCTCTAAAACTTCCTCAAAGGGAGTTGGTCAAGTCATCCTGGCTCCCTCCTTAAATCTAAAATCTATCCTTTTTGTCCCTTCAATTTAATTTCCTTAAGCCAGTTAACCAATATGTTAAATTGTTCAGTAACCTTCGATAAGAAATCTTTTGTTATACAGGAGTGTGGTTCAGGAAGACAGATTGGAGAAGGATATGAAGCAGGAGGTTTATATCATTTTGGATCTCGTCCACTAGTGTCATATGTTGCAACCCCTAGTCCTAAAATGTTACATGATCAGCTTGGTCACCCTCATCTGTCCAAGTTAAAAAAAATGTGTCCTGAACTTAGTGGTCTCCAGACCTTAGAATGTGAGTCATGTCAACTAGGCAAACATGTTAGATTTGTCTTTCCTAAAAAGTCTCAATCAAAAGGTAATTCTAGTTTTTCTATTATTCATTCTGATGTCTGGAGACCTAGTTGTGTCTCATCTTTTGGTTTTAGGTATTTTGTTACATTCATTGATGAATTTTTGAGATGTACTTGGGTTTACCTTATGAAAAATCGCTCTGAATTATTATCCATCTTCACATCCTTTTTAAATGAAATTAAGAATCAATTCGGGCAAATAATCAAAATCTTGAGAAATGACAATGCCAAGGAGTACTTCTCATCTGTTTTTTTTTTTGTCGTTTTGAGTTCACATGGTATCTTGCATCAGTTCACTTGTCCTCATACGCCACAGCAAAATGGTATAGTAGAAAAGAAAAATAGACACTTGGTTGAAACTTCTCGTACCCTTTTGCTTAATGCCCATATTCCAGTCCATCATTGGGGAGATGTCATCTTAACTGCATGTTTTCTTATTAATCGGATGTCATCATCCTCTCTCAATCATAAGGTCCCTTTCTCCATTTTGTTTCCAGATAATCCTCTTTTCCACATTTTTCCTCGTGTTTTTGGTTGTGTATGTTTTATTCATGACATGTCTTCAGGGTTAGACAAGCTTTTTGCTTGCTCTCTCAAATGTGTCTTCTTGGGCTATTCTCATCTTCAAAAAGGGTATCGTTGTTACTCTCCTAAAACGAAGAAATATTACATGTCTGGCCATGTCACTTTCTTTGAACGGACCCCTTACTTCTCTCCATTTGTTCAGGATGTTCATGTCATACAGCAGGGCCTCCCTATTCCAATGGTTGAGTACAATTTTTCCAATGTCTCTATCAATCCTGGCCCAAGTCTTGATCAAAGTCCTCCTGAGCCATCATCTCCACCTATTCATACCCCCCATACGGATAGTCCCATTTTCCAAGAACATGGTGAATCCCCTACTTCAGATGTTTCTCCTTCGTCCCTTGATACCACGACTCCTAATTAAGGTGATTCAGGTTGGCCCATTGCTCTCACAAAAGATATTCGTTCCACTCGAAACCCACATCCTATTTATAATTTTCTTAGCTATCACAGATTATCGTCTTCCTATTGTTCCCTTTTATCTTCAGTATCTTCTGTTATTATTCCAAAAAATGTGAATGAAGCACTTGATCATTCTGGATGGCGACAAGCCATGCTTGTAGAGATGCAGGCTCTTGAACACAGTCATACTTGGAGGCTCATGTCCCTCCCATCGGGTAAGAAGGTTGTTGGTTGCCGATGGGTGTATGCAGTTAAAGTTGGCCCTGATGGTCAAGTTGATCGACTCAAAGCTCGATTGGTTGCAAAAGGATACACTCAGGTTTATGGTCTTGATTATTGTGACACTTTCTCTCTCGTGGCCAAAATGACTACTATTCGTCTCTTCTTTGTAATGACAGTCATTCGTCACTGGCCACTTCATCAATTGGATATCAAAAATGCCTTCCTCCATGGTGATCTTGAGGAAGAGGTTTACATGGAGCAACCTCCTGGGTTCGTTACTCAAGGGGAGTCTGGTATGGTATGCAAATTACATCGTTCTCTATATGGCCTCAAGCAATCACCACGTGCTTGGTTTGGAAAATTCAGCTCCATTTTTAAAAAATTTGGGCTAAGACATAGTGAAGGAGACCATTTTGTCCTTTACTGTCATACATTTCTCGGGAAATGTGTTTACCTAATAGTATATATTGATGATATAGTCATTACAGAAAATGACACTGCTGGAATATCTCAACTAAAGGAGTACTTGTGTAGACATTTTCAAACCAAGGATCTTGGAAGCCTCAAATACTTCTTAGATATTGAAGTAGCTCAGTCAAAAGATGGAGTTGTAATCTCTCAAAGGAAATATGTTCTTGATATATTACAAGAAACAGGCATGATTGACTGTAGACCAGTAGACAGTCCTATGGACCCAAATCAGAAGCAACAACAGAAGAAGGTGAATTATTGTTCTTTGACCCAGAGAGATATAGGAGGCTTGTTGGAAAGCTAATTTATCTTTTACTATTACGAGGCCTGATCTATCTTTTGCAGTTGGAGTGGTTAGTTAGTTTATGCAAACTCCATATCTTGGACATTGGAAAGTCATCATCCGTATTTTCAGGTACCTCAAGAAGGCTCCTGGACAGGGTTTACTATATGAAGATAAAGGAAATGTTCAAGTCTCTGGGTATTGTGATGTTGATGGGGCAGGCTACCCTATTGACAGACGCTCTACTACAGGATATTGTGTCTTCCTTAGAGGAAATGTTATCTCATGGAAAAGTAAGAAGCAAAATGTAGTGGACTGATCATCCGCTGAAGCTGAATATCGGGCAATGGCGTCTCTCACTTTTGAACTCATGGGTAAAGCAATTTCTTCGAGAGCTTAATTTCTATGAAATCCAAACCATGAAAATGTATTGTGACAACCAAGCTGTTTTCCACATTGCATCAAATCCGGTGTTTCAAGAGAGGACTAAACACATAGAAATCGACTGCCATTTTGTTCAGGAAAAATTAATATCCAAGGAAATTTGTACTGAGTTCGTTGGGTCAAATGACCAACTTGCAAATGTGATGACCAAGTCATTAAGGGGACCTCGAATTGAGATCATTTGTTCCAAACTTGGTTCATACAATTTGTATGCTTCAGCTTGAGAGGGAGTGTTAAAATCATTACTTCCTAGTATTATTATTAGACCTAAGTATAGGATGTTGAGTGTGGAACGTCTAGATCTGCACCTAGGGTCCTAGTTGTAGTCTCTTACTTAGTCTTCTATATCTCATTGTATCAGATTTCCATTGTAAATAGAAGAAAGGGAGAAGGTTTCCATAAGCCCTGAAGATATATTTTTTCTCTATTAATCTTAAGTGTTATTTTCAATTAATTTTTCAAATGGTATGAGGATCGTCAAAACTCTTGTTCCACTACTTCTGTTGCACTCACAAGTACATCTTTTGTTGACTTAACTCAATCTCCTTCTCTTAGACCTTGGGTTCTTGACTCAGGCGCCACAGATCATATTACTGGAAACAAATCTTTGTTTTCTTCTTTATCCTCTCCGGATAATTTACCTTTAATTACAATGATTAATGGGTCTAGGATTTTGCCTCATGGTGTTGGTACTATTAAACTTTTTCCATCTTTATCCATTGATAATGTTTTTTATGTCCCTGGGTCTCCCTTTAACTTATTATCCATTAGTCGTTTAACCCGTTTTTTTTATTGTATTATTTCTTTTACCAAAGATTCTGTTTGTTTACAGGACCAGAGTTTGAGACAAATGATTAGCACCAGATATGAGTCCCATGATCTTTATCATCTCCACCCTTCAACACATATTGGCACAGCTATGGAATCTCCAGCTCTTCTCCATGCTCAGCTAGGTCACCCCAGTCTTGCCAAATTGCAGCAATTTGTTCCAAGTTTGTCCAATTTATCTAGTTTATTATGTGAGTCATGTAAATTAGGGAAACATAGATGTAGTTCATTTCCTTATAGTGTCTCACAACGACATTTGGTGATCCAGTCGCGTTAAGTCTAATTTAAATATTTTGTTACCTTTATTGATGATTATTCTAGAAGTACTTGGTTGTTTTTAATGGAAAATCGTTCTGAGTTGTTTTCTATATTCCAATCTTTTTTTAATGAAATTAAAGCTCAGTTTGGGATTTATATTTAAACTTTGCGAAGTGATAATGGTCGTGAATACCTTTCTCATTCTTTTAAATATTTTATGGCTTCTCATGACATTCTTCATCAAACTTCATGTGATTATACACCTTAACAAAATAGGGTGCTTGAGGGCAAGAATAGATATCTTGTTGAAACAACTCACACTCTTTTAATTCATAATGAGGTTCTTAAACATTTTTGGGGTGATGTTGTTCTTACTGCATGTTATCGTATCAATCAAATGCCATCTTCGATTCTAAATAACAAAATTTCTCATTCTCTTTTATTTCTTCATGAACCTCTACATCCCTTACCTCTTAAAGTTTTTTGGTGTACATGTTTTGTTCATAATTTTAGTCCTGGTCTTGATAAGTTATCTCCTAAATCACATAAATGTGGTTTTTTAGGATTTACTAGATCACAAAATGGATATACGTGTTTCTCTCCTTCTCTAAACCGTTATTTTATTTTTAAATATGTCACCTTTAATGATTCTTCCTTTTACTTTAAGTGTCCTTATCTGTGTGTGTCGTCGTCTGCTACTGTCAATATTCTTGTTATGTGTGATTCTCTTGTTAGCCCACCTTCGGATCCTCCTCCGCCATCACCACTTCAAGTTTATAGTTGAAGACAACGATTCCAACAACTACCAAATGACTCACTTCTAGTGCCAACTCCTTTGTTTCCTCTGACTCCGACAATTGAGTTTGACCTTCCAATTGTCCTCCGCAAAGGTATACATTCTACTCGTAATCCCTCTTCTCATTTACTGCTTTGAGTTACCATAGATTATCTCCACCTTTTTATACCTGCCTTTCGTCCATTTCTTTTGTGTCAATTCCCAAATCCATAGGTGATGCCTTAGTCCATCCTGGTTGGCGTCAAGCCATGCTTGATGAAATGAGTGCTTTTCAAAGTAGTGGAACTTGGGAACTCGTCCCATTACCGTCTGAAAAATCTGTTGTTGGTTGTAGGTGGATTTTTGCTATCAAAGTTGGTCCTGATGGTATTATTGACCGTCTCAATGCTTGTCTTGTGGCCAAAGGTTACACAAATTTTTGGTTTGGACTATGGTAACACCTTTTCTCCAGTGGAAAAGATGACTTTTGTTCGCTTATTCATAGTCATAGTTGCTCTTCAACAATGATGTCAAAAATATTTTTCTTAATGGAGATTTACATAAATCTTTATATGACCTCAAATAGTCTACTAGGGCCTAGTTGGGAAAATTTAACAGTGTCGTTCAACAGTTTGGTATGACTCGCAATGAGGCAAATCATTCAATATTTTACCGTCACTCAAGTATTGAGTGTATTTATTTAATAGTATATGTTGATGATATTATTCCTACAAGAAGTGATCACCATGGCATCTCCCAGATGAAGCAACACCTTTGTCACCATTTTTAGAGCAAAGATCTTGACAAACTTATATTTTTCTTGGGGATTGAGGTAGCACAATCCAATAATGGTATTGTTATATCTAAGAAAAAATATGCATTGGATATTTTAGAAGAAACTGGGTTAATGAACTCAAAATCTATTTACACACCTATGATCCCAATACCAAACTCCTACCTAATTAGGGGAGTCTCTCAGATCCCGAGAGATACAGAAGATTAGTTGAAAAATTAAACTATCTTCCTATTACTCGTCCTGACATTTCCTTTGCAGTTAGTGTGATGAGTCAATTTCTTAATTCCCCTTGTGCAGATACTGACAAGGCAGGATCTCCTTTTGATAGAAGATCTACTTCCGGATACTGTGTTTCTATTGGAGGTAACTTGATTTCTTGGAAGAACAAGAAACAAAGTGTTGTGACAAGATCTAGTGCAGAAACAGAATATAGAGTTATACCCTCAACTACTTGTGAACTTGTTTGGCATAAATAATTACTTAAAGTGTTACAATTTGGAGATGTCACTCAAATGACACTTATATGTGACAATCAGGTTAATATTAGCTCTAATTTGTCTTTTATGAAAGGACCAAACACATTGAAGTTGACTGTCATTTTATTCGAGAAAAGATTGTATTTGAAGACATTAAGACCGAGTTTGTTAACTCAAGTGAACAGTTAGCAGATATTTTCACCAAGTCTTTACGGGGACCTAAAATTGATTATATTTGTAACAAGCTTTATACATATTATTTATATGCATCAGCTTGAGGGGAAGTGTTAGATATTATTCATAACAATATATGTATTTGCCATATTTACTTGTATAACTTTTAATTATAAATATATTACCCTATGTGTATTTTAGACGCAAAGGAATTAACCCTATACCTAGTTTTTCACTATATTCAACCGTTGTCAAATTTAATGTATGGAAAACTGTCAAGATAATAAATCCTTTAAACTCCTTACCTGTTTTGGATCTTACTTGAGCTGTCCATTCTTCAATTACCTGCATAGCCAGTTAAAATTGGGTAAAAGTCATTGCAACTGCACTTAGTTTCTACTTGACTGACTAGGTGAATAGTGGTGAGATGCAAAATTTGGGACAAAATACTTTACACCAGCATGGTATAGCAGAAATGCAAGAAAACGTAAACAGAATGAGAATGTATTCTTTTCCACTTTTAGTCATAACTTCAGTTGAAATTGTTTTGCTATATCCTCCACTTTCAACATTCTCACGTTCCACCAACTAAACCAAAAAGCATGTTGGTTATGTAGGCAATGCAACATGAAAGCTACCCAAGGACACCTTTGCTTGGGTAAACTTTAAAAGCAAAGCCCCTTCATTTGATTTATCTTGGTTGCTTGCTGGCAAACGGTGTAAACACTTGAAACACCATTTGGAAAATAGGCAACCATTGAGAATAATAAAGATATATATAAGTGCATAAATTACCATCATGCTCCACTTTGATACCTCAAATGGAAGACACTACACTTTGGCTTTTGAACTATAACTTTTTTCACAAAAATGAAATCAAGACCTAGCACAGATACTTAATTCTTTGAAAAACTAAAACTCCTCTCCAGAGTCTAGATGAACCATTATTGTCTTCTCAGTACCTCATGAGAAAAACGCACATCCAATATAGGAAATTTCATTACTTGTTTAAAGACACTGAAAAACTAACTATAAAAAAAATAAAAGGAAAAGGATAAACACTCGCACATTTTCATTACTTTGTCTGCTTAAAGACATTAACAGACTGACTTAAAAAAATCGATTAAAAAAACACACTAACTCTCTCTCTCTCTCACACACACATTTTCATTATTTAAATTAAGGGTCTAATTTAAAAAAAATCAATTAAAAAAGACACACACTCACTTACAGATACCTGTTTGAAGTTAGTGAATGCAGCATCATCTTCATCAGTGGGGTAGAAGCCCAAGGATGGTTGCATTCGCTGCACCAAATTCCTGTTCTGCACCAGAATTCTCTGAGCCTGATCAATCAAATCCTGCACAAGTGAACAACCAACATCAAATTCACACAGGTCTTATTCATCTTTATAAGTACACATCGGTAAAATTATGGTTTTAAAAAAAAGTACGCAACCGCGATTTTGGCCACACGTCATGGTTTTGGAGTCACCGCAACTGCAATTGCAGTCACATTACTCCACAATTTCCCGAAACACCAAGGATATTGACGAATTCGCAACAGCGATCGCAATCTAAAACTTTAGGTATCACTATCAATCAAATACACCTTGCAGCAATTCAAATCTATAGAACCCTCAAGAATGCATAAGAATGCAGCATAATTAACAGTAACGTACCTGCTTGGCAGCCAGAAGCTCGTGGCACTGCCCCTTCAAGGTTGCTATATCTTCCTGAACCTTCTTGATTCTAGAAACCAGCTTCATAGGGTTAGCCTGCAAAACCCAATTCAGTTTTAAGCATAAGGGTAAGAACTTAGAAATGCCCATGATTGGTTTTAGCAAGGAATCGAAGAAATATGAATGAGAGTACACAGAAATCGGTGAAAACAGTGATGGGGTGTTGTGCTTACATTGTCAGGGTAAACCTGCATAAACTCCTTTTCAAGGCGATGGTGAACTGTAGAGAGATCGTGATTAGCCTTTGTGAAAAGATTCAAAAGTCCATCGGTTGCTTGGTTGTATTGATGCCCCATCTTGGGATTCAAATGTTCTTGCTGCATTTGGGATACCAACCCTTTCAATTCATACTATAGGAGCCAAAAACAAATTCAAATATCTAGACACGACATTACAAAAAACATAAAACACTTTTTAATTTTGTGTTTTATTTATTTTGATATTTTATTTATATTTGTAAAAAATCAATTTCATCTTTTATCCTTTAAATTTGATTTTTTTTTCATTAATTTAAAACTAACATTGCTAATAATTTTAGCATAATATAAATTAAAAATTATTACAAAACAATACATACACATTTTTACATTTTTATATAAATGTAATTAATAAAGTAATTTTTAATCATCACACTTATAATTAAAAAATTGGGTTAAGTATGTTTTTAATCCTTGTACTTTCATGTGAAATTAGAAATAGTTCATCTGTGAAAGTTCACATAAAAATGATCTTTATACTTTTAAAATGATTGGAATAAGTCCCTCTTTTAAACGACGTTAAATATATGATGACATATCTAACAGAGATAGTATGACTCATTCATTATTTGACTCGTGTAATTATTTTAAAAAAAATAGAAATTATTCAACAGAGATTATTATTTAAAAAAAAACAAAATTAAAAAGTACAAGCTTTTCTTTTCTCCTCACGCACCAAAGTTCTTCAGTTCTCGTCGCAACCACTTTTCATTTTCTCTTCTTTTCTTGTCACAACTACTTTTCGTTCTCTCTTTTTTTCTCGTCACACACCAAAAGTCTTTTCTTTATTCTCCTTTCTCTGTAAAGGTTATATGAAGTTAAAGTGACTTTGAAGTTCGAGGGTTCCATCAGTTAGTTCTGGTTCGACTAGTAGTGCGACGGTGGTGCATAACGATAGTGTGCGACGGTGATATACCATAGCTAGGGTTTTCATTTCCGAAAATTAAGGTATGTTTTTTCATTTGCAAAACTAAATGTTTATTTTGTGTTCTAATGCATACATTTGGGAGGTTTTGTTAAAATGATTTAGGGTTTTTCTCGTACATTGTTTGAATCAATTTTTTACATTGTAGGATTACAATGGGTTTCTCTATAACATTTCACCACATGGATAAATTTGTGAGGTTGAAGAATATGCATTATGAGGGTGGAGAGAAAGAATGATGAATTGTATTTAAATTGAAAAGGAATGATCTGGACATAGAATCATTCTTAAATGGCTTTTAAATGCTTTAAATTTGGATTTAAATTGCTTATAAATGGTAGAGAAGTTTAAATTTCTTTTTAAATGACTTTTAAATGTTATAAATGCGGATTTAAATGTCTTTTAAAAGCTTGACACCTTTTAATTTTTTTTTTTTTAATAATTACACGTGTCAAATAATGAATGAGTCATATCATTTATGTTAGACAGGTCAGCATATACTTAACGCGGTTTAAAATAGGAACCTATTTCAATCATTTCAAAAGTATAAGAATCATTTTTATGTGAACTATGACAGAGAGATTATTTTCAATTTCACATAAAAGTATAAGGACTAAAAACATACTTAACCCTAAAAAATCTATTCACCAAAAAAAGTTAGATCTCTTGTGTCTGCTTTTTTTAATAAGTATGTATGAATCTTAAAAATGGTTATAAAATTATTAGAAAAATTATATAAATTAATTTATGTGAAATTTTCTTTAAATATAATTATTACATAATATTTTAAGTAATTTAAATAATTTAAAAAAAATCATTTATATAAATAAATGAATATATATATATATTATTGTTAAATTATTATAAAAAAAATAATAAAAATATTTATTAAAATAATAATAAAATAATTATTATCAATTAGAATATATATATATATATATAATTAACAATAATTATTATTATTATAATATATTATGAAATTATTATTATTATATTATATATTATTATTATTAATATATATATATATATATATATATATATATTATATATAACATTTCTTATCTTTTCGTACAAGAAAAGATAAGTTTTAATTGACCAAAGATTAAAAATAAAATTAATTTAATAAAAAGATAAGAACCATTAATGAGAAAAAAAAAGTAAAAATATTACTATAAAAAGGATGGGGTAATGAAAAAAAAAAGTACGAAAGGGAGAGAAGGAAAAGAGAGAAGGAAAAGAGAGAGGAAGAGAAGAAAAGAGAGGGAGAGAAGAGAAGAAGAAAAAAAATTATAAACAAATTTTGATGTATCATCTACAATACTGAAGTAGGGGAGGAGAATATTATCATTTGATCTGTTTTATTTTAATTATAATTGTGGAGTGAAGTGTTCCTAACCTCATTCTATTTATTTTTGTTATTTATTTATTTATCTGCAGTCATGCACTGATCCTATTTTAATTATCTCCAATTACGTGTTTGTCTTGCCTTTTTTTTTTTCAGACCTATATTGGTTCTATTTTAATTATTTATATTTACTTATTAATTATAACCCCCTTCTAGATTACATTTATTAATCCTAATTTATTATCTAAGTAATATTTTTAATATATTCATAGAAGGTTAATAGAAAATATACCAAGTGAACAGGTAATCTAGGTAAAGTTCTATATTAAATCAAGTCACAAGTCCTAGTACAAAGTTTTCAAAATATTACAAGTCATAAAGTTATATTTATATATTATACAATCCTCAACCTAAGCTCTGGATTTTTGCATCTGACATCTATCTCTTGAATTATACATTCCTGCATCACACATCACCAACCTCTAGGATTGAAATATTTATGGGGTTAGACATTTAATTTTATCCTTAACAAATAAATCATTCATGGAAACAGAATAGAGAATATCATACAATTCATGAATAATCTAAAATTTAATCATGCAATATGTTTATGAATACACTTTCAACGTTGACCTTGAAAGTTGAATTTTGACACATTTAAAGTCAGTTTTGAATCAACCAATGTTAAAAATTGAAATTATATCAAATTAAGGGAATTATCACTAGTAAGATTCAAACTCATTACATTAACATTAAAGATCGATACTCCAACCACTAAACTACTAAGACTTTCTCGATAATAACTTATAAATAAATTATATTTATATAAAAATAAATGTATATCTGTGTAAATATATAAATATAAATATATTTTTATATTTATATAGTTATATATTTACATGTTGGATGTGAGGGTGCACTCGAGGGTTAAAGTGTGTGTCGAGTGGGTTTTCAAAATTTGATATCAAATTTGTGAGTGAGTCTCTTTATATGAGTTTGTAATTTAATGACAGAAAATAATCTTTATAATTTATTTATACAATGATATAAAATATTTTTTTCTTTATTTATTTTTTATTTTATTTTATTTTATTATTTTTATCTTTTTTTCTATCATTTAATTGAAATTCTTATATTAAAATAATTTTTTCAATATTAAAAATAATTAAATATTTATTTTTAAAATTATTTCTTTAAATTATATAATTTAACAATTATTATAAATTAATCTATGTCTGGAAAAAATAATTATTAAAAGATGATTTTGATTAATTTATAATAATTTATGTTAGAAAAAAATTGTTCTATTAATCATCATAATTAGATTAAATTTGGTATCAAATTTTGAAAATCCACTCGACACACACTTTCACCCTCGAGCGCGTCCTCACATCCAACATATAAATATATAACTATATAAATATATCAAAATATATAATATATATTTGTGTTCAAGCATCCAACTCTAAAGTATTGGTTCAAATTCCGCAGTGATAATTCTCTTAAAACAATATAATAAATAATAAAAATATAATATAAAGGAGAGGGGGACCTCTAGATAAATAGAGGAGGATAGAGGGTATTATAAATAAACAAAACTAGATAAATAGAGAGAGATTATAAATAAATAAAAAGGTAAGACTTTTTTACGTCGGTTCTCCTTACCACCAACATTGAAAGTCTAAACTTTCAACGTCGCTTGATTCAACGTCGGTTCTGGAACCGACGTGGAAGACCTTTCACAACTGATGTGGAATGCCATATTTGTAGTAGTGAAAATTCCATTTATGTCCCTAGAATGTGAAATTACTATTTTACCCTTCATCTTTTTCAAAAAAATCCCCTCTTATCCCTTTCTTCAACCTTCGCCCAATAACCATGTTCAATTTTTCCATATTCTAAATTCTCAAGTATCAAACAATCAAACTGATTTCAAATCCAAATTAAACATGAAAAATGTCTAATTTAATTCAAAAATAACAATTTTACCATATAATTCATCCTTATTTTCAAGAATTCCAACAAAATTTCAAACTTTTCAAACATGAAGAAATCTTCAAAATCAGTCATTCGAATGTTAAACGTATGAATAAAATTAAACATCTAACTCATACCTTACTTCTCCAAGATCTTGTGACTCTCCTCCTTTCCTCCTTTCTCTCTTATTTTTCTTCTCGATTTGGTGTCTCTCTCTTATTCTCCAAAATGGTCGTGGCTTTTGGTGTTGGAGGGATTTTTGATTTTGCATGATTTTCTTACACGGTTTCCTTCTATTTATATACCTCTCCACCGACTTAATTTCTTCTCCAAGTTTCTTCACCGCCTTAATTTCAATTCAATTCTTCACCGCCTCAATTAAATTTTTTACCGTCTTAATTCAAATATATTAAGACCACAATACATCATCGACCTTCTCTTTCTCTCTTTTCGTTTTTTTACAATATATAATTTCCACTCATAAAAAATTTACATAATATTTATTATAATAATATATATTAATTTGTAGGAATTTAAATAAATAATTAAGAAATTAGGATGTTACACTAATTCTGCCTTATCTTTATTTATTTATTTATTTCTAGTCTTGCACTCGAGTGGTGGATCTTCATAGTAGTTAAGGGGGTCATGACCAGTGGCGGATCTTGACCAGTTAATCGAGGGGCCAATTATAAAAAAAATTATATAATAATAAATAAATAATAAGATATTTATTTAAAATTGTACCTTCATTCTTTTAAATGTTTGAACTCATCAATAATGGAATCAGAACTAAAGTTTTCAGCTATTTCTTTTTTA